CAGTGAAAATTACACAGCACCTGTGATTATAGTCTAGGAGTCTTTAACATAAAGTTTTATAAAATACCTGCGTGCTTAACATAACAAAACAAAACAGCAGAGACCCAAAGCATCCGGCCTTAAATTCACCCCTTTGCTGAAGGCTTTGAGGAGAAAGAGAGCGAGTTAAAATGTTGTGAATGATTGGACAAGAGGCAGCCTCCAGGGAGGGGCCTGGGCACATGAATCGCTCTTCTCTCTGCCCGGGGTGAGGCAGAAGCGTCCCGCTCCCCAGTGCGAAGGCTTTGCTTCTGTGCTTTCCTCCTGAGCCTCTGTGAGAGGGTTGTAGCCATCTGTGCTCACACCCGGTAACGGGAGCATCCGTTTCTCCATGTCTTCTCCCAAATGGGATGTTATTAATTCTGTATTAATATTTCAATCCGTCTGATTGAAAAATGACTCGTACCTGTTGGTGTTGAGCGTATTAATCATGTAATTATTGGTCAGTTGCATTTCTTTTGTAAAATTTCTGTTCATAACTTTTTTCCCCTATTAGGTTTGGGCTTTTTTTCTTTATTGGTTTATATGGGCTTTCTGCTGTGATTATGGCTGTTAATCCTTTGTCTGTTATAAATGCTGGAAATATTTTCTTCTAGTCGGTAGCTTGGCTTTGGCTTTTAACGTTGTGTTTGCCAATCAGAAGTTTTAAGTGTTTATGTGGCCAAATGTGATCTATTTTATGGATTCCTTGCTTAAGAAGTATACCCCAAAGTTATGCTTATACCTACTATATTCTCTCATATTTTCTTTTTAATTTGTTTGGAGTCCTGTTTTTCATGTTTTGCTCTTTTAATTCACCTGGAATTTTTTAATGTGACAGCATGAAGTAAGGATCTAATTTTTTCCCCTATCTGAATGGTTTTCCAATTCTTACACACTATTTGTTTGTTCACCCTTTCACAATAGATATGCGATTCCATTTTATCACAGACTATACCAGTGATGGTGAACCTTTTGAGCTTGGCGTGTCAGCATTTTGAAAAACCCTAACTTAACTCTGGTGCCGTGTCACATATAGAAATTTTTTGATATTTACAACCATAGTATAACAAAGACTTATATTTTTAATGTTTACTTTATATATTTAAATGCCATTTAACAAAGAAAAACCAACCAAAAAAATGAGTTCACATGTCACCTCTGACACGCGTGTCATAGGTTCGCCATCACTGGACTATACTCTCATGTAAATGGATCTACTTCTTAACCTTATTCTACGTTATCCATGTACTTGCCTTTTCTTGTACTAATACCGCACTGTGTTCATATTTTAATACTCCCTCTGTCCCATAATAATAGTAGCAGTTGACGAATGTAATTTGTCCCATAATAATAGTAGCAAAAGAAAATAAATATAGAATGCAACATTTATTATCAAAAAAACTAGATTAAATTAAACAATAAATTAAAAATAGTACTCCTAATTTGTATTTTGAGTGTTCAGATAGTGTCTGGATTTTTCAGTAATTTCGTTACTGCATTTTAAACTTGTAGGTAGATCCCTTGGGTGCGAAGCTTTGCTTTCCCTATATGCGTGAGCTGAAAATTATTGGAGCCATCGTTCTTCATTGCTTCCAGCATAACTTGTTGAAGTGACAGAAACGTTGTATCCAGTATCGTTGCTTGAAAACTCTCTTTTTTAAATCTTATTTTTACAATGGGTTGATAATTCAACTGAAATAAAACAATTGATTTTGATCAGCGGATGAAATTAGAAAAATAGTTATAATTCGTAATAATTAGATTAACCTAAAAATTGAAAGATGTGTCAAAACAAATGACAGATGTCATGAAACATTGATTTTGATTGAAGGTTTTGCAATTTTGCGCTACAACATAACTTACAGTTGCATTCGCTAATAATTCTCGTTTAAATATTCACTTGCTACTATTATTATCGGACAGAGGGAGTATATTTTTATTGATTTCAGAGTGGAAGGGAGAGGGAGAGAGATAGAAACATCAACGATGAGAGAGAATCATTCATCGACTGCCTCCTGCATGTTCCCCACTGGGGACTGAGCCCACAACCCGAGCTGAGCATGTGCCCCGACCTCCTGGTTCATAGGTTGTTGCTTAACCACTGAGCTACACTGGCAGGCTATCAGGCTTATATTTTTATCTCCCTAGTTAGACATGTAGCAGTAGATTAAAAACAACAGCAACAACCAATGAAGCAATAGATCTCTACCCCTAATAGGTAAGTTATTTGGCATTTGACAGATGGAAGCACAACATTTAATTAACATAATCTGTCAAATAGGACATATACAAGATCAGGAAGTGATGATTGACTTGTAGAGAGTGAAAAGTCAACAGAAATCTATAGCTGTTGGGAAATAAAAAATGCAGTGACTGTACCACCCTAGCTTCCTGTCAAGGTTAGGGTCAACTGCAGATCTGCCAAAAATAGAGCATCTGATTTGCTGAATGTTTGCCCTTACCAAATTTAAGAGTGTATTTGAAATTATTATTGGACCTTCATCTGTTGAGTAGGGGGATAGGAATGTAAATTCAAAGATTTCAATGGGAATTTTCCATTTCTTTCTTTCTTTCTTTCTATCTATCTATCTATCTATCTATCTATCTATCTATCTATCTAAATGCCAGGTAAATGTGTATTGAATTAAAGTATTTTGTTGCAACCACCATAAATAGTGGATATATATGTCTTTAGAGCCACACTGACTTCCTGTCCTTCCTAAGTGCTTTATAAGATATTTGTCGGACATGTCAGATCATTTGGCTTAGGAATCATCCTACAGAAGTCTCTCTGGCATTATTGTAACTTTCCACATATTCCTACTGTTTCATTTTAGCCTTGGAAACAAAGTTCATTAACACTAAAGGTAGTATAGGCTTAGAGTGTGGATTGCATGTGTGAACTAGATGTTGTTCAGATGGCTTTAGATCTTTTAAAAAATCTGTTAAAAGGTTAATTATTCCATGGTGGTTTTATTTGCTGTATCACTAAAAATGAAATAGTGAATTCAGTTTGATGTTATTCTACCTGGGTTTTGTGTGTGTGTGTGTGTGTGTGTGTGTGTGTGTGTAATCAAAGCTTGTTTTGTACACTTTGCTTTTTACATTTTTATTTATATTTCTTAGAAGTGTTTCAGATTTTAGTGTGGCTCATTCTGGCTTCAAGTCTTATCAGCATCCCCTATAAATGTATAGGCATCTGTTCAGTTTATTGAAATATCCTAAATAAGATGAGCAAGGTCCAGATCAGTTAGTTCATGAAAAGTTATTTAAATAAATAAATTTTGGATTACACACTAGAATCCAAAAGTTAAATAACTTTTGATGTATTCTGGTCTCCACAAAATGAATTATACTACCAAACTCAACAATAAAATAAAGAGCATAAAACAATTTAACATGAATTGGAAATAGATGGAATAAAAGGAAAAAAATGAAAGGTGAATTACATGTCCATATTCTAAGCTGGATATTTTATGGCTTTTTTCCCTCCATCACTACATAAGAAGGTAGCAGACTAGCAATAAAGAGAGAGATCTAACAGATGTTCCACAGCAAAATGCTTCATCAGTTTATTTCTCATGATCCTATTAACACCATGAGCTGATTGATTGTTCTTGGTTAAAATTAAGTAATGTCAGATGGAGCAAAAAAGAACAAAAAAGAACTCATGGACATGGACAACAGGATGGTGATTGTGGGAGGGAGGGGAGGTTGGGGAAGGTAGAAGAGGGTATGGGGGGGGATAAATGATGATGGAAAACAAATTAAAAACAGAATAAAGTTTCTTCTCTGCTTTAAAAAAAAGGAGAAAGAATGTCACAGTGTTCGCTTTTCAACTACATAAGACCTGTATTTCTCCCAACTCATATCTTTTTGGCTTTGAAACTTAATTTGTTGTTGCTGTTGTTATTATTTTGTACTGTGTGGTTCTCTGTACAAAATAGGCTGGCATATTTTAAGGGTTTATGAATATAAGCAGTGGATGACATCTTCAAAGCATAGCGAACCTACAGGTATTTACTTAGTACTAGCTTTGTTATATCAAACCCATGATGAAGTGTTAAGACTTTATACTGTCTGTAGAGATGATACACTAAATTCATGCCATTGTAACTGGAATAGTTAACTCAGTGTTTACTGTGTAGCCAGCTCTATGCTAAGTGCTCTTCTGTCCAGCTAAGTAGGTACAGTTTTTTCCTTTCATAAATGATGCCATTGGCACAAATAAGTCAAGTCACTTGTTAAGTCACATAGCCAAGTAAACAGTGAACACAGAGTGATGGAAATATTCTAACATTGGATTCTAGTGATGGTTACACAACTGCAAATTTACTAAAAATGATTGAATTGTATACTTAAAGTGGTTTTATATGTGAATTATATTCCAATAAAACTTTTAAAAAGAATAAATGGGTTCAGAGCTTATTTTGGAGGGGTTCTCTTTTATAAGTATAGTTGTAAACTAATATAGTTGATACTTTTTGGTTCTGCATAATATTTTAGGTAAGTGGAATGGAAAAGTGAATAAGATAATATACTGTATCTTAAGTATCATTCAGTAAGACAGATCATTGAAAGGTAACCCTCCACCCCATAAATTCAGTAAGAGTTAGAGTTTTTATGGGTAGGAATTATGGAGCTAAGTATTATAATCTAAGTTTAAAGGGTAGTGATTCAAATATATGTTAATCTCTTGTGATTTTTAGATATCAGGATCTTGATAGCATGCTCTCTCTCTACACACACACACACACACACAGTCTTCAAAATTAGAAAAGGTATTGATATTTTCTCTGATCTCATCTATTCTGCCAATGTGTTTTTGTTTTATCTGCCCTCTCAACCCACTGGAGTGCCGTGTCTTTTTTTTTTTTTGCGGGTTCTGCTCCCCCTCTGTCCCTGGAGTGCCATGTCTTATGAATGAGTAAACACACTTGGGCTTCAGGCTATTTATATGTTCTTTTTTTTATTTTTAGCACTTTCCTTTTATTTGGACCCTTGGATGCCCATTGACGGATGCTTGAGACCTTCAAGTAATCTTCAGATCATAGCAGAATTGTAAGGCCCTCTGTATGGGAAGGAGATAGTCCGTGTGCTGTGGACATGAACGGGGAGCAGCAGCTTGATGCAGGTATTGGTTTTGGTGAGCAGAATTCATTCCTCGGAGTCCAGAATCATATTACCTTCCTGGGTGACATGGTCTGACTTACCTTCTGACACTAAAGAGAGAGCTGGTTGAGGATATGCGTTGTCTCTCTCTGTACCTGGAAGAGCCTGGCACTAGGGGATACTCACAATGTTTCCTGAAAAACTAAATTTTATGAATAGACTTTCATTTTGAAAAAAACAACATTTTAATTTTAATAGTTACTTTTGAATTACTTTGAAATAATTATATATTCATAAGAAGTTGCAAAGATAATACTAACAGGTCCCCGGTATCCATCACCAGTTTCTACCATTTGTTAAATCGCCTATAAGTATAGTATAGTGTAAAAGCCAGGATTGACATATTTAAAAAGTGTATGTAGTTTTCTGTCATTTTATCACATACTAGAAGCCTGGTGCATGAAATTCGTGCACTTGTTGGGGCCGGGGGTCCCTCAGTTCGGCCTGCGCCCTCTCACAGTCCAGGGCCCTCGGGAGATGTCTGACTGACGGACATCCTGAGTGCTCTCACCGAGGCAAGAGAGGTTCCTGCCACCGCCGCTGCGCTCGCCAGCCGTGAGCCCAGCTTCTGGCCGAGCAGCGCTCCCCCTGTAGGAGTGCACTGACCACCAGGGGGCAGCTCCTGAGTTGAGTGTCTGTCCCCTGGTGGTCAGTGCGCGTTGTACCGACTGATCATTCTGCCGTTCAGTCGATTTGCCTATTAGCCTTTTATTATATAGGATAGAGAATGTAAAATAGTATAATCATCCTGGAAAGTAGTTTGGCAGTTTCTTTATTAAACGTATGATCCAGCAATTGTGTTCCTAGACATGTACCCCAGAAAAATGTAACCACCTCAGTCAAGATACAGAACTACTCCATCACCACAAAGAGCTCCCTATTCTGCCCCTTCATACTTACACCTACTTTCCTTCCCCCAGCCTTCCCTAAATCAGGCAACCATTAGTCTGTTCTCTATCTCTATAATTTTGTCATTTCAGGAATGTTACACATATAGAACCACATAGTATATGATTTTTTGAGGTTGCTTTCATCACTCAAAATAATGCCCTTGAGATCCATCCAAATTTTTGCACATATCAATAGTTTGTTTCCTTTTATTGCTGAGCAGTGTTCCATGGATATACTACAGTTCAGTTAACTATTCATCTACTGTTGTATGTTTTGGTTGCTTCCAGTTTTGGGCTCCTAAAAATAAAGCTGCGCCCTAACTGGTTTGGCTCAGCGGATAGAACGTTGGCCTGCATACTGAAGGGTCCCGGGTTCGATTCTGGTCAAGGGCATGTACCTGGGTTGCGATCACATCCCCAGAAGGAGGTGTGCAGGAGGCAGCTGATCGATACCTCTCTCATTGATGTTTCTAACTCTCTATTCCTCTCCCTTCCTCTCTGTAAAAAATCAATAAAATATATTTAAAAAAATAAAAATAAAGCTGCTTGTGCCATAGTATACATCAGATTTCATTTTTCTGGGATACATGTCTAGGAACACAATTGCTGGATCATACGTTTAATAAAGAAACTGCCAAACTACTTTCCAGGATGATTATACGATTTTACATTCTCACCATCCATGTATGAGAGATTTAGTTTCTTCTCATTCTCACTATTATTTGCTATTGTCACTATTTTATTTAACTCTGATGGGCATCTAATAGTGACAGCTTATCCTGATCTTAATTTGCATTTTCCTAGTGGCTAGTGATGTTGAACATGTGCTGTATCCTCTTCAGCACAGTGTCTCCATTTATTTGGTTCGTTTATGGTTTATCTGCCTTTTTTTAAAATACATATTTTTATAGATTTCAGAGAGGAAGGGAGAAGGAGAAGGAGATAGAAACATCAATGATGAGACAGAATCATTGACTGGCTTCCTCATGCACGCCCCCTACTAGGGATTGAGCCTGCAACCAGGGCATGTACCCTTGACTGGAATCGAACCTGGGACCCTTCAGTCTGCAGGAGGATGCTCTATCCATTGAGCCAAACCAGCTGGGGCCTTTTGTTGTTTTTTTCTATCCTCACCTGAGGATATTTTTTCCATTGCTCTTTAGAAAGAGTAGAGGGGAGAGAGGAAAAGAGAGAGATACATTAATTGGTTGCCTCCCACACAAACCCCTACCGACTGGGGCCGGGAATCAAACCCACAACCCAAAATACGTGCCCTTGACCAGGAATTGAACCTGAGACCCTTTGATGTGCGGGACGATGCTCTCACCAGCCAGGGCTATATGTCTGCTTTTTAATAACTATTTCTTTAAACATTGAGCTTTTAAAAAAACAACTTTATTGAGGTATTTTTCTTTTTTTAAGGTATAATTATGCCCTTATAGAGTGTACAGTTCAGTGGCTTTCAGCATATTCACAAAGTTTTGTGACCATCACTAGTATTTCTAAAACATTTTCATCACCCCCTAAAAGAAACAGTTAGCAATTGTTTCTTGCCCCACTCAGCCTCTGGCAACCACCATTAGTCTCCTTTCTGTCTCTATGGATTTACTTATTTCTGCTTCCTTTTGATTAATGTTTATTTACATGGTATATCTTTTTCATTCTTATACCTTCAACCTGCCTATATATCATTATATTTGAAGTTTCTTATAACAGCACATAATCTTTTTTTTAAATTTCAGTCTTACAATTATTGTGTATTTAGACCTTATACATTTAATGTAATTATTGGTAAGTTAAGGCTCAAGTGTGCTATTTTTGTTCATCTGTTTTCTGGGATTATTTTTGTCTTCTACCCCCTGCCTTCCTGTGGGTTACTTGAATATTTTTTTTTAGAATTCCATTTAGATTTTTCTATAGTGTTTTTTAGTGTATCTTTTTGTATAGCTTTTTAGTAGTTGCTCTAAGTATTACATTTTATGTACATAACTGACCAGTCTGTTGGTATCATCATTTTATTGGTTTGAGTCACATATAGAAACTTTACCTATTTTTATGTCTTTACCTTGTAATATAATTATCATAAATATTTCCTCTTCATATTTTGAGAACCATGTCAGATATTGAAATTTTTGTTTCAACTTTCAAACATAATTTAGGAAACTCAAGGAGAAGGAAAATATTTTTAAATATTTTTACTCTTTCCATTGTTCTTCTGATACTATTTTATTATTTATTTCTACTGTTCATTAAAAATATAAACAGCCATAGCTGGTTTGCCTCAGTGGGTAGAGCCTCAGCCCACGGGCTGAAGGGCCCCGGGTTCTATCCTGGTCGAGGGCATGTACCGCAGCTGCAGGCTCAGTCCCCGGCCTTGGTCTGGTTGGGGTGCATGCTGGAGGCAGTCTACATGTCTCTCTCACATCTGATGTTTCTCTCTCTCTCTGTCTCTCCCCCTCCCTTCCACTCTCTCTAAAAATTAGTGGGAAAATGTCCTCCAATGTGGATTAACAAGAAAATTAAAAATAAACAAACAAATAGGTGTATGTACAGATATATTTATTTCTATACCTCTCTCATCATAAACAAAAGTAGAGATACAATAAAAACTGATTTTTAGTTTCCAGTTTCACTGAATATATACTGGAAAGCATCCCACATCAGTACGCAGAAATTGTTCTCATTCCTTTTTACAGTTGTATAGTGCTGGATGTATAAACCATAGATCGTTCAGCCAGTTCCTTATTGATGGACATTGGGTCTTTGCAGTCTTGATTCATAAGTAGTGCTGTAGTGAATAGCTTTGTACATATGTCTTTTTGTATTTTGCCAGCATATCTTTGGAATAGCTTCCTAGAAGTTGGATTGCTTTATCAAAAGGTAAATACATACATCATTTTGCTAGGTATTGCCAAGTTTTCTTTCACTAGGGCTGTGTCATTATGCTTTACCTGCCTAACTATAGCCTCACCATAGAGTATGTTGTCAAACTTTGGAATTTTTCCCAATGTGATATTTCTGTGCAGTTTTAATTTGCATTTCTCTTAAAAATGAGTAGATTTGCATATCTTTCCATATGTTTCAGGACCTTTGAATTTCTTTTTTATAAATTTTCTTTTCCTGTATTTTGCTCATTTTTCTATCCAGTCATTAACCTGTTTCTTCTCTGTTTTTTAATAGTTTTTAATGTATGAGAAACTTTAGTTCCTTAGCTCATTATTTTTATTGTTGTTGTTTATTTTTATTTTTAAGGGAGCATGCTGTTTCAGGGACTAGGGTCCTTGTTAAGCACCATGAGTGTTCAGCCATGTTATGTTTTAGTAATGGAAATTGACTTTCTGCTGGCCCATACTTCTAGGAGATTTCCAATGTGGTCTTTGTTGGCTTGCTATATTTCTAGTGAAAAATTGCAAATACATAAAAATGAATGGGAAACAATGTAAGAACACCCACATAGCTACCCTGAAGAATTAATGAATGCTAACATTGTCTTACATTTGTTTCCATTGTTTTATTGTGGTACAATATCCATTGTACACAGTTTACAATTTTAACCATTTTTAAAGGAGTGTACTGTTCAGTGGCATTAAGTACATTCATATTGTTGTGCACTCATTACCACAGTCTATCCCTAGAACATTGTTCATTTTCTCAAACTGAAGCTCTATACTCGTTAAACACAAACTCCCCATTCTTGTTGCCCCACAGTTTTGGAAACTACCGTTTTTCTTTCTGCCTCTGTGAATTTGACTATTCTGGCTACCTCGTGTAAGTGGAACCATGCAGTATTTATCCTTTCGCAGCTGGCTTATTTCACTTAACATAATGTCCTCTAGGTTTATCCATGCTGTATTATGGTCAGAATGCCTTCTTTTTTAAAAAGACTGAATAATACTCCATTGGATGGATGTATCACATTTTAATTTCTTCTTCTGTCGATGGATACTTGGGTATTGTGAACATTTGTGTACAAATGTCTGTTTGATTCTGCATTCACTCCTTTTGGATATATACCCAGAAGTAGAATTTGGTGGATCCTATGGTAATTGTATTTTTAATTTTTGAGAAACCACCATATAGTTTTCCACAGTGGCTATATCACAAGATTCCAATTTCTCACTTCCTTGCCAACATGTATTTTCTGCTTTTTGTTGTTAATCCTCACCTGAGGATATTTTTTCTATTGCCTTTTAGAGAGAAGAGTGGAAAGGAGGGGATTGAGGGGAGGGGAGAGAGAGGGGGAGAGAGAGAGAGAGAGAGAGAGAGAGAGAGAGAGAGAGACAGAGAGAGAGAGAGAGAGATGTGAGAGAGAGATTAATGTGAGAGAGAGACATTGATTGGTTGCCTTTTGTATGTACCGGAATCAGAGCAGGTCGCGAACCTGCAGCCCTGTATACATGCCCTTGACCGGAATCAAACCCGGGACTCTTGGTCTGCAGGCCACTACTCTGTCCACTGAGCCAAATTGGCTAGGGCTGTTTTCATTTTTAAAAATAAATAAGTACTAGATAGGCACAACCCAGTTTATGCCTCTTTAGTACTTCTCTTCTAATCACGTTTTCGCCTCTCCATCCCCAAAGGCAGCACTGTTCATTGCAAACTGACTAGTGCCAGGCATTGTTATGGGCAGTGGGGATACAAAGTTCCTGTCTTCATAGAGCTTGTTTTCTAAAGGTGAAGGTAAAAGGCCTGGTGTACTGTCCAACAGGATTGAATGCCTTGAAGACCAGAAAGCAGAGCCTGGGAGTTTTCTGCTGTGGGCACTGCTTGGAAGGCCTTTTTGGAGACAACTGAGTAGAAGCTTGAATGCCATGAGGGTGTGAATGACACTGGGAGATCAGTCTTGGGGCTGCGGGAATAGCAAATGCAGAGGCTTTGAGGAAAGAGCACGATTAGATTAAAAAAAGAATAAACTCAGTGTCACTTGGGTGCAGTGAGCCAACGAGGCTGGTTGGGGATGAAGTGGCAGGGCAGGTTGTAAGAGGGCCAGATCATGGAGCGACTTTGCAATCTCTCAAAGATTTTAGATTTTTCATCAACGTGATTAAAAAGTGAGTGATGTCAAGGTTAGGCCTTGGACGAGAGAGAACAATAGGAATGGTGAGATGTGATTAGGTTTGGGATATATTTTAAAGGTGATACCTAGAGAATTTTCTGATAGTTTGGATATGGGATGTTAGATGTGAAAGAAAGGGAGGAAAGCAAGGATAATGTCCCATTTTTTGGGTTGAGCCAAAATACCGATACAGGTATGTTTTACTTAGTTGGAGAGCACTAAGGAAGAAATCAGATTAAAAATTCAAGTTGGAAATGCCTACGTATTAAGTACCTCAAATACTTGGTGTTAGGTACTAAGTACAATCCAATGTGGTTGTAATAGTTACACTCTCACCAGCGTCATGTGATCCGTTTGGGTGAGACCCTGATGGGTCCCAACAGGAGACAGCATGTCACACTTCGTGCTGTTGAGGTTCCTTGACGGCGAGTGCACCAAGGGAGCCTACCACAAAGCCAGTTAACTTGTGAAGTCAATTGTAAGTTAGGTTTATTACTAAATTTATGTTTTTGCACCTTGAGTTTTCTTTAATTGGGGTTCACCTGTTCTTTATTTGTTTTGTTTTGTCTTTAATTCCAGATGCTGGGTCTGGTGTGGAAGAAGTGGAATTAAGCTGGGAAGATTATCTGGAAGAGACGGGCTCCACAGCAGTTCCCTATGGATCTTTTAAACACGTGAGCAGCAACTGCATTGCTTCACGGTTTACATCTGTTTTCTTTGACTTCCTATGCCATCATCAGACAGTTTGGGGTGGTTTTAAGTTGGGGCGCTTGAAAGAACTTGAATGCCTGTTCCTGTTTTCTCCCCCTGATACCCTTATAAAGAAAACTTGATATACTCTTAAAATAATTTTTGGTTTTGTATACTTTCTGCCACTTAATGCAGGAGTTGTTTTTTTTTGACTGGTCATGAATATTCCTTTATTTTTGTCAATCTTTTTATAAACTGAAGATAATGTTTTTTCTTGCACTTTATAACATTTTATGACTATTGGTTTGCTTATTGAAAGTAATTTCAGTAACACTTGTTTTCTATTATGTTGAGCAGAAATGTAGTAATGACATCCAGTCAGTCACATGGGTGGCCTGTGCAGCATAGTTTTATACCCTAACAGCCCAATTTAATGCTACCTGCCTATTAGTCACTTAGTAGCCGACTTGGTTGTCAGGGTATTGCAGTGCTTGTGTTTAAGTAACCCTTATTTTACTTAATAATGCTACATTCACGTAACTTATACAGTATATTGTTATAATTGTTCTATTTTAGTATTGTTGCTAATCTCGTACTGTGCCTCATTTATAAATTAAACTTTATTATAGATATGTATCTATAGGAAAAAACACATAGGTATATGGGGTTTGGTACTGTCCAGGGATTCAGGCATCCACTGGGGGTCTTGGAACATACCCCTTGTGGTTAAGGGAGATAGCCCCCATATTAGTTGTTTTAAGAGTATTCTCCAAATATTTGTGAGTTTCCTAGTTTTCCTTCTGTTACTACATTTCATTTTTATTCCATTTTGATCAGAAAAGATACTTTGCATGGTTTCAGTCTTTTTAAATTTGAGACTTGTCTTGTGGCCTAACATTATGGTCTGTCCTAGAGAACATGAGAAGAATGTATATTCCACTGTTGCTGAGTGGGGTGTTCTGTTAATGTCTGTTAGTTCTCATTGGTTTATAGTCTTGTTCAAGTCCCCTGTTTCCTTTCTGTCTGGTGGTTCTATCCATTATTGATTGTAGGGTACCAGTGTGTTTAGAGATCAGCATAACCTTGATATCAAACCTAACATGAGTATTTTAGGAAAGGAAAATTACAGAGCAGTGTCACTCATGAAGACTGATGCGTAAATATTTGCATACAAAATAATAGCAAACTGAATGTAGCTGTATTTAGAAAGAATAATACATTAATAACAAGTTGATTTTTCCAGGAATGCAAGATAGTTTAACACTTAAAAATCATCCAGCATAATAATAGTAGCAGAATAAAGGAGAAAAATCACATTATCATGTCATTATATAAAGAAAAATTATTAATAAAATTCCATACCCATTATGATAAATTTTTAGCAAACTGTAGATGGGAATTTTTTTAAACTTTAATAAAGGATCTCTACCCCCAAAAAATTTACAGGAAATTTTATTAATGGTAATATAATGCATGCTTTCTTTTTAATATGGAGCAAGACAAAGATACTGATTAGCATGACTTTTGTTTGATACTGTTATAGAGGTTCTAGCCAATACAGTTAGGTTAAAAAAACACAGTAAAATGTATAAGGATTAGGAAGGAAGGGAAAAAATGTTATTTTTGCAGATAAATAATTTTAAGACATAATAATTAATGAGTAATTTCAGCAGATTATTTAATACAGGATAGCATTAAAAAAATCTATTATATTCCTATATACCAGAAACAAACAAAAATGAAAGCTGTTATTTACAATAACATTTTTTAAAAAGTTAAATGGCCAGTAGTTAAATGTAACAAAAATTTGCAAAGAAACTTCAAATCATCTATACTAATAAAAGGGTAAAATGCAAATTGGTCATGACACCCTAACAGCCACGACCAGATATGCTAATTAGTCACGATCAGTATGCAAATTGACCATCACTCCAACACACAAAGATGGCCGACCCCAAGTGGCCAAAGATGGCCACCACAAGATGGCCTGCAGAGGAGGGCAGTTAGGGGTGACCAGGCCTGCAGGGGAGGGCAGTTGGGGGGGACCAGGCCTGCAGGGGAGGGCAGTTGGGGGTGACCGAGTCTGCAGGCATATATATTTGAAATGAAGTACTGACAGGAAGCATTGCCTGCAGCCAGACCTACCTTCGAGCTTCTGGGAGGGTCCCACAGAACCCCAACATGGCCATCGCCACATGAGGGCAGTGGCTGAGAGACCCCACCAGGCATGAATTTTGTGCACCGAGCCTCTAGTCCTATATAATAAAAGCCTAATATGCTAAGTGTCCGGTTGTCTGGTGACCAGTCAACTGTTCAACCATTCAAAGCGTAATATGCTAATGATATGCTAAGGCCGCTCAACCGCTCGCTATGATGTGCACTGATCACCAGGGGGAATACACTCCGACCAGTAGGTGAGCTTGCTTCTGGGGTCCGGCCCATCGGGTTTGAGCGAGATGGGCTGGATATGCCCTGGAGCCCTGCTGTGGTCCTTCCCTGGCTGGCCAACCTCCTGCATCCCTCCCCAGCCCTGATCGTGCACCAATGGGGTCCCTCAGCCTGGTATGCACCCTCTTGCAATCTTGGACCCCTTAGGGAATGTTGGAAAGCTGGTTTCAGCCTGGTCCTGCAGGCCAGGCCAGGCTATGGGACCCCACTGGTGCACGAATCCGTGCACTGGACCTCTAGTAGTGTTATAATTTAGGATAGTGATTACCTTTCAAGAGTCCAGTGGGGTTAGGGGAGGATTTTTACACAGAATGTGGGACTTTCCATCTCTGGCTCTCTCCTTTCCAGAGGTTGTTATTACCGCGTTGCATTTACTAGTAGTGGTCAGAGCTCCATAGTCTCCTTCAGTACACTTTGTCTTTCATGGCTTTTGAAGAGCAAATTACTTATCAGTTATTTTATAGAATACTAGTGGCCCAGTGCACGAAATTTGTGCATGGCGGGGGGATGTCCCTCAGCCCAGCCTGCACCCTCTCCAATCTCGGACCCCTCGGGGGATGTCCGACTGCTGGTTTAGGCCCGATCTCAGTGGGACAGTCGGACATCCCTCTCACAATCCAGGACTGCCGGCTCCTAACGGCTCACCGGTCTGCCTGCCTGATCGCCCCTAACCACTTTGCCTGCTGGTCTGCTCACCCCCAACTGGCCCCCACTGCTGGCCTGCTTGGCCACAACTGCCCCCTTCCCCCGCTGGCCTGCTTGCCCCTTCTGCCCCCCATGCCAGCCTGCTCACCCGCCACTGCCTCCCCTGCCCGCCTGATTACCCCCCACTGTCCCCCACTGCCCGCCTGATCACCCCCCACTTGCCTCCCCTCCTGGCCTGATAGCCCCTAACCACCTCTGCCTCAGCCCCGCCACCATGGCTTTGTCTGGAAGGATGTCCGGAAGGTCTCCCGGAAGCTCTCCCGTCTAATTAGCATATTACCCTTTTATTTGTATAGATTCCACAATTTAGGTTTTGTTTTTCTCATGCTTAGTTCGAGTTTATGCAGATTTGGCAAAAATGTCATAAAAATGATTTTGTGCTTTTTTTGTTTTATGATATCAAGGGTGTATGATATTGATGTTTTCAGACTGGTTATGTTAACTTTGATTACTTAGGGTAGTTTTTGCCAGATTTTTCATTGTAATGTTACTGTTTTCCCCTTTGTAGTTAATAAGAATCTTGCAGGAAGAACCTTTGAGATTATGTAAATATCATAGTCATCATAGTAATATTAGCACTGACTCATGATTCTTGCCTGCAGTGTTTACTTCTGTGGTGTTTGTCTAAAGTTGATTTTCTATTTCCATCATTTCCCCCTATTTTTATTAATTGGTCTACTCTAAGGAATTTCTGTCCCCTCTTCTCTGTTAATTATTTTTTAACAGTGTGAGCTCATGCATATCCATGTAAATCGATGGGTTATAATCTACTAACCTCATTTATTTTATTGCTCAAATTGTCCCACATGTGTCCATTGGAAGATACTTTAATTGGCTCTCATGTTCTTTCCAAATGCCCCCATCATTTTTGGAGCATTTCCATACTTTTTGGCATCACAAGATATTCCAGGCTCCTACTGTGTTTTCCTTACCCCGGAATTTGGATCAATTATTTCTCCTTGGAGCCTTTGTTCTTTTTTATTGGAGGATGCTATTTAGAAATCAATATTTTAAAAACTATGTTTGCTATTGCTACTGAGTATCATTACTTCTATTGTCTGTCAGTTCACAGAGCTAGGAGATATATCTATGTTAACACATACATACATAGACATCTATACTTTTTTCTGCATTTCTTTCTATTTGTCTTTCTGTATGTCTGTAATCATGACCTCATTCTGATACCTTGATTCCAATTCAGCACCACAAGATTCATTCTCTTCTTCCCCCTTCCTTATTTTCACTTCTTTCTCCCACATCAGGAACCTGTCTCTCATCATCTACAATATATTGATTTCTTTAATCTTAGTATACACATGCAGTAGTTCTAAAATTGCTAACCCATACCTTTGTGACCATATAATTTTTCATCTAAATTAGGACACTTTTGAGAGAGAAAGGGGCATTTTTAATTATTATTCAAGGACAACAAGTGTGAACGTAGAGTGTTTCCCAGGGTAACTGGGAGGTATAGCTCCCTACATATGGTACATGACATACTAATTTTTTATTATTATAGTTTATTTTTATCCCATATCTTTTCTAGAGTCATAAATTTTCTCTAGAATGATCTAGAAATCACTCCTGACAGCTTAACATGTCAAATGGTGAACATTAGTGATGTATTTATTTACTAGAAAACATTTCTGTGATCATAATGACTGATGGTGGTGAAAATACTGAGTTCCACTGAGATGGAATAGGACAGCATTGCTGTCCCTGCTTTGTTTGGGTCATTCCTATGAGTTAGAATTGGAATTTCTCGGATTTCCCTTGAGAGGATTTTATTGCATTTAGTACTTCAGAATTGTAAGTCTTACAAAGAATGTCAGCCAAAGAAATACTCATTTGAGATACTTGTCTGGTAGTTAATAACATTTCCCTGTTCAGGTGGACACACGTTTGCAAAATGGATTTGCTCCTGGGATGAAACTGGAGGTGATGGTGAAAAAAGATCCTGAAATCTACTGGGTTGCCACCATCATTACCACCTGTGAGCAGCTGCTCCTCCTCCGCTACGATGGCTATGGAGAGGACCGGAGAGCGGACTTCTGGTGTGACATCAGGAAGGCTGACCTTTACCCCATTGGGTGGTGTGAGCAGAATAAGAAGACCCTCGAAGCCCCGGAAGGTAATGAAATACTTCCTATTGTGACATAATGGGATATTGCTGTAGGAAATCTCGTCCATAATCTTCTTAAAAAATATGTATTTTATTGATTTCAGAGAGGAAGGGAGAGGGAGAGAGAGACAGAAACATCAGTGATGACAGAGAATCATTGATTGGCTGCCTTTTGCATGCCCCACACTGGGGATTAAACCCACAACCTGGGCACTTGCCCCTACCAGGAATTGAACCATGAGCTTCTGGTTCATAGGTCGACGCTCAACCACCAAGTCACGCTGGTAGAGCATCTTGTCCATAACCTTGAGGCTTTCAGTCTCCCATACACATAGGTTTTCTAACTTCTTTTGGTTTAGCATTTTGACGGAAAATATTTATAAAGAATAATGCACATTCTCTTATCTTTTAAAATTATTTTCTGTGCTCCATAAAGCCTCATGTTTTTGTGACACTCATAGGGAGCATCAGTTATCGTTCTGTAAGACTGTAGGCTCTCTGAGTTTGAGGATGTCTTTAGGTGCATTGGGCCAGGTTGATTCTCTTTTTTGACTTGATTGTCCTCTTTCCTCTCACCCACAAGTGATCTGAGACCTATGAACTGAGGCTTTCTTCCAGATAAAAGCCTACTGGGAGTAGAATCGAAATTCAGTAAGACAAAGACAGAAGGACAGAAGAGAGAGGAGTCATATAAAAGTGGAGAAAGGGAGGAGAGACTGCAGATTTATGAAAATACCAGACCTTAATATGTTTTTCTTTCAACCTCTTATGCTGATGCTAGAGGCCTGGTGCACGAATACATGCATGGGTGGGGTCCCTTGGGGTGGTCTGCGGGGATCGGGCCCCAGCTCGCGCCCCAGGCTCACAGCCCTGCAGCCTCACTTGGCACCCCACCATGGCCTGGCGCCTCCTCCTCACCTCCACTATCCCACCATGGTCCCACTCTCGTCGGGGCCCATCGGGGCCAGCAGCGCCTCCACTGCTGCCCACTGCCAGTGCCGTGTTACTGATGCCCGCCATGTTCCGCGCCACCCCCTACTGGTCAGTGCACATCATAGCGAGCGGTCAAACTCCCGGTTTCCCGGTCGAATTCCCAGAGGGGACAATTTGCCAACCTGAAGAGATTCCCTCTGGGTAAAGAGAAGACAGTTGAGCATCAATGGTATAAGAGCTGCAATGGCCTGAAACATATCATATGTGACTTAGTCTGTAATTTTATAATGGAACTTTTAAACAAAATTCTCATTGATCACTTTTGGATGATGGAAATATGCTGATAACTTTGAAGGCTGGTAAATACAGGGGAAGCATAAAGACAATTAAGCATATATCCTGCCTTCTTTTTGTGAACTTTAATACCTTAGGGCAGCGATTTTCAACCGGTGTTCCACAAGAATTGTTAAAACATGCAACACCTGACTATTCAGTCAGGGCCACTGACCTCTTGTCCCTCAGATTGCCAAATTTAAAAACAACTGCCAATACAACAGTAGCCATCCGGTGTGAATAAATAAAAAATGATACCTATTTTTGTCAGGTTAGCAAAAACAGAATTCTGTGCCACAGAATTTTAATAATTAGTTTATGTGTGCCATGTGATGAAAAAGTTACCTTCTGGTAATCACACAGTTGAAGGGGAGAATTTTTTCTTTATAGAAGTAGCATATTGCTTAGTAAGTGAAGGAGGGATGATAGAAAATTACCGTTTGTAGCCCCCAATGAATGAATGTATCTGTGTAGTGACTATTAAAAACCACTGACGCTGAAACCGGTTTGGCTCAGTGGATAGAGCGTTGGCCTGCGGACTGAAAGGTCCCAGGTTTGATTCCGGTCAAGGGCATGTATCTGGGTTGCGGGCACATCCCCAGTAGGAGATGCACAGGAGGCAGCTGATCAATGTTTCTCTCTCATCGATGTTTCTAACTATCTCTCTCCCTTCCTCTCTGTGAGAAATCAATAAAATATATTTAAAAAAAACCAAAACCACTGACATCACAAAAGGAGAGACAAACAGACTGTATATGCCTCTTGATGGAAGGATGTAACTCCACTTATGAAATACTAGAGGCCCAGTGCATGATTCCTGCACCGGTGGGGTCCACCCGACCTGGCCCCAATCAGGGCAGATCTGGGCTGGGCCTGTGGGCGGGGAGGAGATGGTGGGAGGTTAGCTAGCCGGCCCGCCCCGATCAGGGCTGGGCTGGCTGGAGGGAGGGGCCAAGGGCAATTGGCCGGCAGGCCCCGTCCCCAATTGGGGTTGGGCGGGGCCGATTGGGGGTGGGGCCGGACATAGGGAGGGGCTGTGAGTAGTGGGCCGACTGGGGGCCAGTGGCCTGGGAGAGGGGCCATGGGTGGTTGGCCGGCCAGATCGGGCCGTTCACTGGCCGCAGTGAGCCTCATAATGACTGGCTGTCCTGGTTGTTATGGTGTTCCGGTTGCTGGCTTTTTATATATATAGATTCTTGCTCCCTTTCCTCCAAGAGTCAAATCTAAATTTAATCAAGCCTACCAGTTTTATAGAAAATATAGAGGTCAGTAGGACAACAACTTGTTACCATAAGGAGGCAAGCAGGAAAAGCAGATTCAGAAAAACTCTGTATAGCATAAAAGGCTGAGTCAAGAAATATGTGGCAAGATAAACAGAGAGTCCGGGGGTTGCGGAGGAGGAGAAGGAACACACAGATTAAAAGAGATTCAGGTGATACATCAACCATTTGTAATATAGATCTCATTTGGATCCTGATTTGCCTGAGCAAATTGAAAAAATCATTTTTGAGACATTTCAGAAAATTTGAACATGGGCTATCTATATTTGATGTTAAGGAATTATTGCTAATTGTTTAAGGGGTGGTTATGTAAAAAGTTCTTTTCTTTTGTAAATATATACTGAGATTACATTGGATGAAATTATATAATATCAGGAATTGGTTGGGTGGGGTGGAGTGTGTAAAGGTATAGATCAGGGGATGGCAAAGTATCTGTAAAGGTTCAGATAGTAAAAGTTTTAGGTTTTACCAGCCATGCGGTTTCTGTAACAGTTGCCCACCTCTGCCTTTGCAGTGTGGAAGCAGCCACAGACAGTATGTAAACAAACAGGCATAGCTGCGTTTCAGTGAAACTTTATTTCAGCCAGCTGGATTCAGCCCACATGTTGTAGTTTGCTGACTTCTCCGGATCTGGATGAAAGGATTAACCATGAAGTTACAGTTGTTGAACCTAGGATACAAGATGATTCATTATACTATTTTCTCTACTTGTATATATATTTGAAAATTCCCATAATAAAAAATAAACCAGGTACCGTTTGGATAATTGTCCTTGTTTTGCATACAACTCCTACTAAACTATTCAGTTGTAGATTTATCTAGGATGGGTTTTTTTGACTGCCTCCTACACATCCTCTCCTGGGGATCGAGCCTGCAATCCAGGCATGTGCCCTGACCGGGAATCATACCCTGGCTTCCTGGTTCATAAGTCGACACTTAGCCACTGAGTCATGCTGGTCAGTCAGGCGAATTTTATCTTAAGCTCTCAAAGAAGTAATTGTTGGACTCTTTGATACTAAAATGACCTCTAAACCATTTTCACTGGTTTAATGATCTGTATTCTATTTAGTTAGTTTCTCTGTGTTCCATGGCTGGCTATTGTGAGTAATCGCTCATTTTATTCCCTCCTCTAGGCATCAGAGACAAGGTGTCTGACTGGGAGGAGTTCCTGCGGCAGACTCTGAAGGAAGCGTGTAGTCCTCCTGTCCCGCTGCTAGAGGGCGTGAGTATGATCGCTTGCAGGATCAGTGTGGAAAACCCTTCCAGTCTTTAGTGAGATTAACTGTCTCAGGAATCTTAAAATTAGTTGCTCATTTACTACCCCCAAGGCAAATAGGCATTATTATTAAGGACATAGGCATGTGTACTGGGAGGTTTAAGCTTATTATCCTCAGAGGTTACAAACTGCCGGCTTGCTCAGTGCCTAAAGTATTCTGAATTAGTTGCTAAGACATAAAAATCTCGTTTTCCAAATGCTGTTCTGTAGCTGGTGTCTTGGTACGCTCGCCTGTAACAGAGCAGGCGTTGACTCTGCTTGAGGATGAGCATTTGTAACTCCCACACCAGGTGACTTGCGACTCTCTCTCTTTTAAAAAAATATATATATTTTTGCTTTCAGAGAAGGGAGAGAGAGAGAGATAGAAACATCATTGATGAGAGAGAATCATTGATCTGCTTCCTCCTGCATGTCCCCCACTGGCATGTGTCCTGATTGGGCATCAAACCATGACCTCCTGATTCATAAGTTGGCACTCAACCACTGAGCCACACTGGCTGGGCAAGACTCCCTTTTTTTTCAGTCAGAAGACAGTAGTAGATCTGTAGTACTTCTACCACCTACTTGCTTTCAGCAGTCCTTTTCCATTATTGTAGGTTTTGAGCTTGTTAGTGATCATCGATTTCTTGTTTTTATAAAAATCAGTTTATTGGGTATGACATTTCTAAATTATTTTTTGTTACTTTGTGCAATTGCAAAATGTAATGTATGAAGTTTCCAGTTTCTCTACATCGTTGACAGCACTTTCTGGTTATAGCTGTGCTAGTGAGCGTAAAGTAGTGCCTCGTTTGGATGTAGGGAAGTCACTTATTTCCCTAATGACTGAGGATGCCGAGCATCTTTTTAAGTGCTTATTTGCCATTTGTGTATCTTTTTCTAGAGAAATGTCTTCGCCCATTTTAAAAATTTTATTTATTTGTTTGTTTATATATTTATATGTTTTTTATTGCTTTTTTTTTTTTTTTTTGAGAGAGGAAGGAAGAGAGAGAGAGAGAAAAAAACATATATTGGTTGCCTCTTGTGGGTGCCCCAGCCAGGGATTGAACCCACAAAAAGGTATGTGCCCTGACTGGGAATTGAACCCACAGCCTTTTGGTATAGGAGATTACTCTCCAATCAACTGAGCCACCTTGCCAGGGCGTCCCTTTTTAAATTGGGTTATGTCTTTTAATTATTGAGTTGTAAGAGTTTCTTATGAATTCTAGTTGCAAGTCTAGATCAGATAAATAATTTTCAAATATTATCTCCAGTTCTGCGGATTATCTTTTCACTTTCTTGATATCATTTACAGCACAAACATTTTTTATTTTTATGTAGTCCATTTTATCTGTTTTTTCTTTTTTTTGCTTGTGCTTTGGTGTTGTATCTAGGAAAGCTTTGCTTAACCTGACTCACTTCATTATGTTTAGCTAGGACATGGTACATGTTAAAGACTCAGTAAAATTTGAGCAAATGCATGAAATCATGAACAAATGAATGAATAAATATTCTTCTGTACATTGACCTTGATTCTGCCATTTTATCTTTAGCTGTGAATGTGTTTCCTCCACTTGTTCCCATGTTCATTTGCATAATAAGAATATGCAAGTGTCACAGAGCAGTTCTTATTAGAAAAAATGTAAGTTTGAATATTAAGAATTGATTATGTAATAATGTTGGAATTAGCATTCCTCTTTATTCTTTATTGTAGCTTTTAATATATATCTAGAGAGTGAGATTTAAACTTTTCCTTTCTATCAGTGTAATGGAAGCACTGTGTTCTTAAGAACATTGTGAAATGAGTAAAAACATCAGAAACAACCTAAATGCCATCAGTAGATAAGTGGATCAATCACTGCCCATTTGTAATACTGGATAGCAATACAACCATTTAAAATAATGAGGAAGCCCTAGCCGGTTTGGCTCAGTAGATAGAGTGTTGGCCTGCAGATGGAAGTCCTGGGTTTGATTTTGGTCAAGGGCAAGTACCTCGGTTGCAGGCTACTCTCCAGCCTAGACCCTGGTCAGGGCTTGTGCAGGACGCAACCAATTGATGTGTTTCTCTCACACTGATGTTTCTCTCTGTCTTTCCCTCTTTCTTCCGCTCTTTTTAAAAATCAGTGGAAAAATATCCTCGAGCAAGGATTAAAAATAATAAAACAATGAGGAAGATTTGTATGTGCTATTATAGAAACATAGCTATGATTTATTAAGTGACAGACAAATTGAAAAACAGTTTACAGTTCCTATTAAAAAAAATGAGAGAGTGAAAGACACAGACTTGTGTGTAGAAAACCCAGTCTCAGAGAGTGTGTGCCAAAGTGTTTATTGTATTTTTCTTTTTAAAGGTGGGATTATGAGGTATTTCGACTTTTGTTGTTTTTTTTGTTTGATGATCATATTTGCTTTTACAACAATCAGAGACTAATGATGATATTTTAAAAATCCTTACTAGATTAAGCTATCTAACATAATCCTCAAGGCAGAGATCTGTTAGAATAGTTTTATTGCATTATAGGTAGGTGTTTTTTTTTTTTAAGACAAACATTTTATATCATCTACAGATAATACTATAGGTTCTTTTATGATATTCGACAATTCAGTATCACTGACTTTGAATGGGTAAAAATATAAAGGCTTGTTGGAGGTTATTTAAACTTGACTTTTTAGAATATGATGTTAACTTCTCTGACATAATATTGTCTCCTTTTTTACCTACAGCTCCGTAACGGGAGGAACCCTTTAGATCTCATTGCTCCAGGCTCCAGGCTGGAATGTCAAGCTTTCCAGGACACGCTAAGCACTTGGATTGTTACTGTAGTAGAAAACATTGGGGGAAGGCTGAAGCTACGCTATGAAGGACTGGAAAGTTCTGACGACTTTGAACATTGGTTGTATTACTTGGATCCGTTTCTTCATCACGTTGGTTGGGCAGCTCAACAAGGATATGAACTTCAGCCTCCATTAGGTGAAGAGAAATATAACATTTTTCTTTTAACTATTATATTATTGTTATAATATGTTTTTATTAATATTTATGAGGCTGAGAAAAACATTATTCTGCATATTATAAAAGCCTTTATTACTTTGCATAATAGAGATATTAAAAAAACATATAAGGAGTTAAGCTAAACACCTGTTATTCTTTTCGTTTTATTGCTTTTGGTAAGAGGTCAGTATCAGGTGAGGCAGAAATCTATGATATGCATACCTTATAGATTTCTGCCTCACCTGATACTGACCTCTTACCAAAATTAAAGAAAAATTCCCTAGGTAGCATTCAATATAGGTATCGGAGTGCGACAGATCTTGAGTTCAAAGCAGATTGTCGATTAAGATATTATAACTGGAGTTACTGTGTAAATCAATTTGCATTTATTGTTATGTGCCCCAGTTTGGATGTTGTATTATGTTATTTTGTGGACTACAGCAGTCCTTGATCTCAGTGTAGGTGTTTGCACCGTACTTTACTCCCAAAGCTCTGATGCGAGGAGACAAAGAAGGTGTAAGTTCTTTGAGTGAAGATGGTATAAGTGGGCTTGAATCCTTTTCTTTCCCAGTGGAAAGTGATTTTTTTTATTTATGTGAATGCTTTCACAATAGTTACTGATACGTATATTCTGTAGTTATTTAAAGTTACCTGTCTTGTTTTACTAAAGCCATCAGGCATCTGAAAAATGAAACTGAGTGGCAAGAGATCTTGGCCAAAGTGAAACAGGAAGAGGAAGAGCCATTACCATCTTACTTATTTAAGGTAAGAACAAAAACGAGTGAAACAGTCTGAGGGAGGGGCAAGGCATAAGATAACCCCTGGAGTGAGAGTGCTGTGGCGTCCGAAGGAGGGAAGAGGTTTGAAGGCTGGAGTGATGCTCATCCTTTTCTTCTTCTAAAAATAGTCTAGATTTTCTCCCAAAGACCTCTTAGAGCATTTTGAGCTTTTTCTACCCTTAAAAAATTTTTTTTTAAAATTTCCAATTATGGCTGACACAATATTACCTTAGTTTTAGGTATACAACATAGTGGTTAGACATTTATGTAACTTACAAAGTGATCCCCCCAATAAGGTACCCATCTAACACCATACAGAGTTATAATAATATTTTTGTTATATTTCCTATGCTGATTTCTACATCCCTGTTACTGTTTTATAACTGGTAATTTGTACTTCTTAATCCCTTCAAAGTGAAGGAATTTTTTCTGCGCTTAACCATATAGGTTTGACTTGTTATCAACTAAACTTGTTTTTCTGTCAGATAGCCTTTGTGTTTAAGATGTAGAGAGTAGCAGTGCCTCCTGTGGTTTTATTCCTGAATAATGTTTTCCAGGGAAAGAAATGATAGGATTAGGTTCTTTACCAGAAGTTGGACAGGTCCATTATTTTAATTAACTAAAGGTAGTATTCAGTTATATATGAGTATAAACTTAATGTGAAAATACTATGTTCTTATTCCCTCTTGGTGTTTGCATGTCAGGACAAACAAGTGATCGGTACACATTCATTCTCTGTAAATATGAAACTGGAAGCTGTGGATCCCTGGTCTCCTTTTGGGATCTCGCCTGCTACAGTTGTTAAGGTAAAATGGGGGCGACTTTCTTGGTAAGAATTCCTGTCAGGGTGACTGGGTTAGGAAATTAGTAGTATTTTGGTTTCAGGCTCTCCTAATCCAACCCATTGTACTGCCCAGTTCTCTATGGCCTCTTCTTTCTTTGGAGATCGGTTGTCCCAGCCAGCCAAAGCGCAGGCACCAGAGTAGAGGGGCATGTTTTTTGGGGGGGGCGGTGGGGGCAGGCCTGCCTATAATAGAGGAGAGTCAGCCGGCAGGTGAGCCGTGGTACCTGAAAAGCCTGGAGGCGGCAGTGTCACTGGTGTCCAGCCAGGTGCAGGAGATGTATGGGCATCAGGTGATCAGTATCACGGGACCTGCCACTTGGATTGCCCAGCCGTGGATTCTAGGTTCCAACTTTAATCTTTTGAAAGACTGACAAAAGTAAGGCTCTTGTTAGGAGTAGCCACAAGAACTGGGCAGGTGTCAAGGCCCAGTTACTCGGTTACTAGAACTGAGGCATAAAGGAGAGAATTTCAGTTGAAAAGCCCCATTTACTGAAAGTAGAACCAAAAGGTTCTAGAGGAATAGTTGCTTTGATGCTGAGTCATCCAACCTGGTAAGTTTGAAAGTTACTTTGCCTTGGAAAAAGAATCATTCTTAGAATGGGGAGGAATTCTGACCCTGCAATGATATCAGAAGACCGTAACTAGAGCCTGAAGGCTGTGGGGTGGTGAGGAGCCAGAGGAGGTTCATACAACCTCTTTGGCATTCGAAACTAGGCTAGGATCTGAAAATCGAATATACTGGTCCAGTTGACTCCTCAGTAAGCCTAAATTAAATTTTGTTTGGAACCATAATACTTAGATTTGAATCCAGGTTCTGCTAGTTCCTGCTTGCTCCTGGCTATATAATACGGGGCAAGTTATTTAACCTCTTTTTTTATTTTTTGAGTTTTATTTATTTATTTATTTTTTACTTCTCATCTGAGGATATTTTTTCCATTAATTTTTAGAGAGGGGGCAAGGGAAGCAAGGGAGAAAGGGAGGGAAGGAGAG